GACCTTTAAAGAGTATTCTTAGGAAGTTTCAGCTGAATCCAAGTTTGAGCGACTTTCGTCAGAGTAGCACCTTAAATCCATTAGGTTTGGCTCATGTGGAGTTTGATGCTTGACTTGAGCCTTACTTATCGATCATCTAATTTTATTAAACATAAATACTAGCCTTTCATTTTTGAATCAAATGTACTTCCCGATACCAGAAATAACATATGGGCTGGCAATTTCTAATGCTGTTTTTTCAGAAGATTAAGAAATTCTTTGCATATATGGTTAAACTTTGGATTTCATCATGTTAATACTCTTTGCAACAAAATCTTAATATTTTTTTCCCTAGTATTTTAAATAAAGGCCATTGCATTAGTTTTCAATTCTCATTTTCAGGCCATTGTTATTTTTCAGCTGTGTTGTCAAAAGGGTTTTATCTGTGAATTCTGTAATGATCCAAAAATTATTTATCCATTTCAAGTCAATACTACAACACAGGTTAGTTATAGATGATCATAATATAATTATGGTTAGAGAACCCCTACTTTATCTCTTATTTATTTAATCCCATTTGTCCATTCATTCATCCATTTATCCCATTCGTCTGTTCTTTGCTTCCTGTCATTAATTCATTGCTCATTTGTTTAATCCCATTCATCCATTTTTACATCTTATTTATTCATCCCCTACCTATAAATATACATCCATCAGTTCATCCATCTATTTTTTCATCTCATTTATTTATCCCCTACCTATAACTATCCATCCATCCATCCATCCATCCATCGATCCATTCATTTATTCATGGTATAACGATACACCGAATCGAAATATGGCGACCAATCTAAATAACTATTGTTCAGGACTGACTAGCGACTGACTAGTTTCAAGGTGAACACAAGGCTAGTCAGTCGCTAGTTAGTGAAGAACAATAGTTAATCAAATTGGTCGCCATATTTCGATTCATTGACTTGCATCCCTTCAATCAGTAAATATCAATCTCATATCATTATTTTATTGTATTATCACTATTGTTGTTGTCTGCAGTGTCCTGAATGCAAAGCCGTCTACCACAAACAATGCATTGCAGATAGAAACTGTCCAAAATGTGCACGAAGACTTAAAAAGAAGGCTGCAACAGCATTAGAATCTACAGCCTTAGAGTTTAATTCTCCTTGGTAACCATACCATGACAACAGCCCGTAAGGTAGAGGATTAAATAATCTTAAATTATCCTGCAGCCTCAATTCATGGTTCCCCTACCCGTAGTTACCGCTGCTTAATGTCCAACTAGCACAACAAATGAGCTAGAATATCTTAGAATCTAAAACTCTGATAGCGGGATAGGCCCTTTGCAGCCTAGAAATCACGTCCTGATTAATTCACTGAGAGCAAATGAATGAACATCTTGATTCCCATGGGTTAAATATACTGGAGAGCAAACAAAATTTCTACAACCTGTTTCGAGAGATCGTAATAAAACTGCATTTCGTAACACACTGGTTACACATCGTTTCAGTTCTTTACAAGTAGCTAAAAAGAATCACCAATTTAAAATAAAAAAATTTGCTTACCAGTACAGACACGCGACCGTTAACTGCAAAGGGCCTATTATAAATTGTTTCTGTTAATTACTGTCCTTTGAAAATAAAATAAAATTGTCTTGTAATTCAAGTAGAACTTTTTCAAACAGATGCTGTATATAGTTTTTAAAAATTGAATTCCTCTCAATGGAAAACGTTTGCAACGGTGATTAATTCGCTAACCTTTTTTAAGGGGAACCATAAGATGAAAAMTGTCGTTTTATTCAAGGACATGGAAAAGGAATTGCACGTGGTTGATTTAATCTCTTTTCCCTGTCCCAGATAAGCCCGCGCCAACACTAAATGCGGTTTTAGTTTTGTGAAACGCTTCGTGAAACTCTTCGCGCCCACGCTAGCGTTCTTTTAGCGTTTTTTTTTTCTTTCTCGCCCGTCCACACTAAAACGATCAAAACGTTTTCCCTGTTTATACCTCGTTTTCAAATGAATGCGTTTTCGTTCGTTTTGGGGTAAACGCAAAACCAAAACTCATCGGCGTAATTCTTGCCTCCTTAGGTTAAGCAAGCCGAGCCAGTTTTTCAGCCTTCTTGTTGGTTGACATGTCAAGAGGTAGAGAGTTTTCATAAAATAACTTAGGAAAAGCTCATACAGAGCTAAAGTAAAATGGCTACAAGTTCTATTGAGATAAGTAAACCCTATTTTGAAATTTAAATTAAAAACTAAGTATTTAAATAATAGAATTTAAAAGTTTAAATTTGATAATAAATTTCAATAAAACGAATGAAAGCATAGCTATTATACAAGTGTTCACATTTTATATTCGCGCGATCAGCAGAACAGACTCAAAAAAAATTACTAAGAAGTGCATGGTTGCCGGTGAACAAAGTAATCCATACATTCCTTATTGAACTTTTTAGTTTCTGAATGGCTTTGTAAAATAACTGTTATAAATCTCCCGTTCTGATTGGTTTGGAGCGCGTGCTTTATGAGAGTACACAGCACGTGCTCGCACTTTCAGTTCAGAAATTCCTAGCAAAACACAACTTGCTTGCCGTGCTGTTTCCAGTTATAAAGCACTTGGCAAATGGCATAACACTCGAGAAGTGTCGAGAAGCACTCCGCTACGCGTCATGCTTCTCCTAACACTTCTCTCATGTTCTGCCAATCCCCGCGTGCTTTATAGCTTCACAGCACGTGTTTGCTATTTCTTCAATATCTTGATTATCGATATTCAGGGACTCGTAACGAGTCCCTCACGATATGAAATCAGGCATGGGGCTATAAACTAGTGTTAACTTTGTACCATACCGAAGATGTATAGTATTTATAAAATTTACCCTTTTGTGGATATATATAGTTTTTGTTAAAACTGAATAAGCAGCCTAAGCTGTTGGTTAGAGAGAGGTAAAGTTCTTGGTCACTGACTTCTGCAACGCCAAATACTATCCAAAAATGGCCCCAGCATATTTATTGTAAATAACAAAACAAAAAATTAATGTTTTCGCTTGATCATTTCATAAGTTTGTGTTATATATGGAGCAAACTATCACCGCCTCAAATTTTCTTCTTTCCCATACCCATAATAGCTTGTGGCTTTCAGGGGTAAACATGGGGGAAAACCTCACTTATATCGCTGAAGGCTGATCAGACAATGATGAAAATACCTCGTTTTATATACAAATATAAAATGAGTTGGTAAGAAACAGAAAGAGATAGAGTCTTGAAAAAGTTTATAGAAAATTCTAAATATTTCTTCGTAAGTTGGTGGATTTTCTGTAACACCCAACCTTTTGAYGTTCAGAAAGTGAAAATAAACTCAGAATGAACAGATAATCAATATCGTACAGATAAATGATAGTACAGTGTCCATTCAATTGGAGAACGTTTAAATTCGGGACAGTGTTTTGATTGGTTACCCCCAAGGATATTTTCTCTGACCGTATTTTCACCTCATTCTTTTTCCCACTGATCTATCTGCGTTAAAGTGGGTTTTGTTGGCTTTGAAAAAGTTTGGTGATAATTTCTGATTTTTTTCCTTTTTTTTTTATGTGTTGTTCTCTCCTATACCACAAGTTTTTTTCTCAGGAATTTCCCCCCCTTCTCTATAAAAATCATGTGAGTTAAGTTGTGTGCATAGAATATTCAAATATAGTAAAGAGTGTGTGTGGAGGATACATGGCCCCACAAGCTTCTAGCTTTAAAGCCTACTGTGTATGGATGATTAAAAAAAGATTTTAGTAGCACACAGTTTCTTAAGATGTTTTTTTTTTTATGTTGGTCTCAACAGGTTTGGTGATAATCCCTGATTTTCAGTATGTAGTTTTGATTTAGGTTGTTCATTGAGTGTTTTATCTTCTGATGTCYGTAGCACTGATGGTTCAGGTGCAGAATGAACCTCACGAATCTCTGGTTTCTTTTCTTCACCAATATTTGTTTCTAAATTCAAGTTATAATCAAACTCTGTTTGTTCATCAAATTCCCACACTTGACTCTCAAGGTCTTGAAGGGCTTTTTCCTACAAGAGAAAACAAAACTTTAGTTGAAGGTATCAAGAATTTTGTAGCAGCAGCAGCAAATTTCATTATCTGGGTTTTAAGTCCCCCCCACAACACCCAAGAATATAACTTGAACAGGGTTTTGTTTGAAGGAAGTATTAGGAGAAGCAAACAGCACAGCACACAAGTTTTTTTTCTTTTATAAAATACAAATAGAATAACTGATATTTTGGATCTGAAAGACAAAATAGAAAGCTCCCGTTCAAGACAAGAATTTTTTGTCATATATATTCTAATACACATAAAATAGAATTAAGTGCGTGCACATCCTGTGTGCTCTCATGAAGCACACTCCCAGTCAATCAAAATGYGAGATCCATAGCAGTTATAATTTTTAAATAATTGTTATAGAACCTTGCGTTTTGATTGGTTGGGAGTGTGCTTTATGTCACAYATCAGGGGYGGACCCAGGAATYTTAGAAGGGGGGTGACTATTACAAAGGTTATACCAGGAAYATGAGGAAAAGGGGGTGACTGTTACTAACGACATACTGAGAAATTTGAGCAAA